CTCATCCTCAATTGTTTTAAACAACCGATCATAATGATGTTAGATGAAAAACGCTTCAATTTTTCCTCCACTCATCCTCAATTGTTTTAAACAACCGATCATAATGATGTTAGATGAAAAACGCTTCATTTTTTCCTCCACTCATCCTCAATTGTTTTAAACAACCGATCATAATGATGTTAGATGAAAAACGCTTCATTTTTTTCCTCCACTCATCCTCAATTGTTTTAAACAACCGATCATAATGATGTTAGATGAAAAACGCTTCATTTTTTTCCTCCACTCATCCTCAATTGTTTTAAACAACCGATCCTAATGATGTTAGATGAAAAACGCTTCATTTCTTCCCTCCACTCATCCTCAATTGTTTTAAACAACCGATCATAATGATGTTAGATGAAAAACGCTTCATTTTTTTCCTCCACTCATCCTCAATTGTTTTAAACAACCGATCATAATGATGTTAGATGAAAAACGCTTCATTTTTTCCTCCACTCATCCTCAATTGTTTTAAACAACCGATCATAATGATGTTAGATGAAAAACGCTTCATTTTTTCCTCCACTCATCCTCAATTGTTTTAAACAACCGATCATAATGATGTTAGATGAAAAACGCTTCATTTTTTCCTCCACTCATCCTCAATTGTTTTAAACAACCGATCATAATGATAATAGATGAAAAACGCTTCATTTTTTCCTCCACCCATCCTCAATTGTTTTAAACAACCAATCATAATGATGTTAGATGAAAAACGCTTCATTTTTTTCCTCCACTCATCCTCAATTGTTTTAAGCAACCGATCATAATGATGTTAGATGAAAAACGCTTCATTTTTTTCCTCCACTCATCCTCAATTGTTTTAAACAACCGATCATAATGATGTTAGATGAAAAACGCTTCATTTTTTCCTCCACTCATCCTCAATTGTTTTAAACAACCGATCATAATGATGTTAGATGAAAAACGCTTCATTTTTTCCTCCACTCATCCTCAATTGTTTTAAACAACCGATCATAATGATGTTAGATGAAAAACGCTTCATTTTTTCCTCCACTCATCCTCAATTGTTTTAAACAACCGATCATAATGATGTTAGATGAAAATCGCTTCATTTTTTCCTCCACTCATCCTCAATTGTTTTAAACAACCGATCATATTGATGTTAGATGAAAAACGCTTCATTTTTTTCCTCCACTCATCCTCAATTGTTTTAAACAACCGATCATAATGATGTTAGACGAAAAACGCTTCATTTTTTTCCTCCACTCATCCTCAATTGTTTTAAACAACCGATTATAATGATGTTAGATGAAAAACGCTTCATTTTTTCCTCCACTCATCCTCAATTGTTTTAAACAACCGATCATAATGATGTTAGATGAAAAACGCTTCATTTTTTCCTCCACTCATCCTCAATTGTTTTAAACAACCGATCATAATGATGTTAGATGAAAAACGCTTCATTTTTTCCTCCACTCATCCTCAATTGTTTTAAACAACCGATCATAATGATGTTAGATGAAAAACGCTTCATTTTTTCCTCCACTCATCCTCAATTGTTTTAAACAACCGATCATAATGATGTTAGATGAAAAACGCTTAATTTTTTCCTCCACTCATCCTCAATTGTTTTAAACAACCGATCATAATGATGTTAGATGAAAACCGCTTCATTTTTTCCTCCACTCATCCTCAATTGTTTTAAACAACCGATCATAATGATGTTAGATGAAAAACGCTTCATTTTTTCCTCCACTCATCCTCAATTGTTTTAAACAACCGATCATAATTATGTTAGATGAAAAACGCTTCATTTTTTCCTCCACTCATCCTCAATTGTTTTAAACAACCGATCATAATGATGTTAGATGAAAAACGCTTCATTTTTTCCTCCTCTCATCCTCAATTGTTTTAAACAACCGATCATAATGATGTTAGATGAAAAACGCTTCATTTTTTCCTCCACTCATCCTCAATTGTTTTAAACAACCGATCATAATGATGTTAGATGAAAAACGCTTCATTTTTTCCTCCACTCATCCTCAATTGTTTTAAACAACCGATCATAATGATGTTAGATGAAAAACGCTTCATTTTTTCCTCCACTCATCCTCAATTGTTTTAAACAACCGATCATAATGATGTTAGATGAAAAACGCTTCATTTTTTCCTCCACTCATCCTCAATTGTTTTAAACAACCGATCATAATGATGTTAGATGAAAAACGCTTCATTTTTTCCTCCACTCATCCTCAATTGTTTTAAACAACCGATCATAATGATGTTAGATGAAAAACGCTTCATTTTTTCCTCCACTCATCCTCAATTGTTTTAAACAACCGATCATAATGATTTTAGATGAAAAACGCTTCATTTTTTTCCTCCACTCATCCTCAATTGTTTTAAACAACCGATCATAATGATGTTAGATGAAAAACGCTTCATTTTTTCCTCCACTCATCCTCAATTGTTTTAAACAACCGATCATAATGATGTTAGATGAAAAACGCTTCATTTTTTCCTCCACTCATCCTCAATTGTTTTAAACAACCGATCATAAGGATGTTAGATGAAAAACGCTTCATTTTTTCCTCCACTCATCCTCAATTGTTTTAAACAACCGATCATAATGATGTTAGATGAAAAACGCTTCATTTTTTTCCTCCACTCATCCTCAATTGTTTTCGTTCTATTGCTTTAATTTTATATTTGACAGAGGGACCGATTTTGTGAAGATGCAAAAGTAAAACCAATGATTAAATTTAAGGACCCTTACAATTATTGGCCAATTAGTTAGTTCACAGCGTTTTGCAAAGTTTTTGATTAGTTGCTTTCAAATCGATTTTCTGAACTGTCAATAAAAGCAACTTGTTTGCTGATGAGAAGTTTTCGTTTCAGAATAAAACCAAACGGTTTGCATTTAGGCCCTGAAATAATGCAAAAAAAAACTAATGACACCAACAAATTTAGTCTTGCAAGCTACACAGGACATAAAAACCTTTTTGACTCTATTGGTTTTAGTAACTTATTTGAAAAAAGTTTGGACCGATATCTTTTTGTAGGTACAGCAGAGGCACTTTTAAAATCGTATCTTGAGAGAAGACGATACGAGCCAGCTAGAAAAGAATCTCAATGTAAAATCATTAGTTTTGGTATGTCGCAAGGTTCAATAATAAGTCCTTTTCTTTTCTAGCTTTTTAATAATGATTTACCGAAAGTTGTGATGGTCGGTGCACAAAAAACAGGCGCGTACTCACGCTTTCAAAACGCAAAACTCAGACCTTTCCACTCAAAATTGAACAACCTGACTTCATTTTGCAAGGCACTAGTCTCGATGTGATTTGTTCCTATAAATATATATGAATTTATCTTGAATTTGTAGGAGTTCAACAAATTGCAACTTTCTGAATACGTTGATTATGTTTGCAGAAAATTGGCAGGTTTTTGTGGCGTAATTGAAACAACGTTTTTCCCATAATTTGCTTTTACTCTTCTATAATGTCTATGCCAAACCATTATTTTTGTTTTTTCTATGCCAAACCATTAATTTTTTTCACAAAACTTCAATTTAAATTTTTTCAGCTGTTTCTTCTTAGCGTTACATCTGATTTTAAACTCCCGGGTTGACCTCCATACACCGAAAATAGTTATCATACAATTCCATACATCAAGTGTATGGAAAAATGCTTGTCATACAATTTTCATACAATTTCTAAAAATGGTTGAAAACTGGTATAAACTTATTTCTGTGGATGTTTGATTCTTATAAAACAATCTGGTGATAAAAAACTGAGGTCCTCGTTTTTTTGAAAAAAAATGCTTATCATACAATTCCCTCATGGGAATTGTATGACTGGCATTTTTTTGATGGCGACACAAAAAATTTTTCAAGTAATTTTGAAAATTTGGCCCAAAAATTTTTTTGTTTTTTTTCAACCGCAAATCGAATTTCGTACGCAAACAAACATTTTTCGAAATTTTTTTTGCATGCAAAATTTAATATTTTGTGTGCATAACGTAGTCCTGGATACGATAAAATTGGCTTTTATTTTCTTTTCACTTAAATTTTTTTTTTCGAAAACGCTGAAAATTCCTATTTCTTTTGTATGGGGTGTAAATGTAAGCTTTGATCAATGTCTGATAACTTGAAAATTCAAAAATTTGAAATAATCATCATTAAAAAATTTTGCCAAAAAATAAAAGTTCGTTACTTTTGTTATATAAATTGTGAAAAACATCCAAATTCAGGTCGTTTGCTATGCATTGCTAATGCAAGACCGTCCAACCTTTGGTGATTTGAAAAGCATATTTTTTAAAAGCTTCTGTGCGCAAATGGACTCTAAGCAAAAACTTTTTTCACGTTTCTCTTGTCTGCCGTGCTCACTTACCTTTAGCAAGGACTACTTAAAATATCTGCAAGTTTGAACTGAATCAGAAAGAACTAAATCTTTAGCTTTTTTGCAGTAATTGAGTCAAGTTCAGTTTCACACATGTTTATCAGGGATCATTAATTAGTTCACTTTGATTCGATCAAGAGCAAACTAGTCTTTTGTCCACCATGCATATCGTACAATTTTAGTCAGTACAGTTACTATCGGGTAAAAATAGAGATTTTCTGTACTGCACCTGTTTCGGCTAAATGGATTAATTGTGCAAAATCTCTTGGCTGCTCAGAGCAATTTTGGTCTTGAAAAATGATAGGAGTGCAGTTCTAAGCAAAGCGCAACACAAATGCTTCATTTTTTCTATTTCAGTTTGACAAGATGCTCAATTGGTTTTAATGGACTTGAAGAACAAGTTAACATTTACCTTGACTGCTTGCAGAGGAAATGAAACCTTGTAAACTTTCATTCTGTTTGTTGGTTAAAGTTCTCTCTCCCAATTCCTCAGAAAATTAATATTTGCGTTAATTTTTTTTTTACAAAACTACTGTGATGGTTTCTTTTGTTCAGCTGATAGATAAAATGTTTTGTTTCAGACTTCCTTCTCTATTTCAGAAGATATCCGAAATTTGAAACTGTCTGCAGAAGAAGTTCTAATTTATTGTCTATCTGAAAAGGTGCGTCCATTCTTAGAGTTTATCCATTTATCCTATACAATCTGCTCTCTATATATCCATTATGGTTACAGGAAGGGATTCTTAAAACAAACCACAGAATAACTCGGAAAACTGATCCATTATATTGAAGTGTGCAAAAAAGGTAAAACTGTACGAAAATACATAGGAGAGAAACCAAAAAACATGAGCGGCGTGCACAGCTATTCCTGAAAGCCCTCAATTCTGGATACTGTTTAATGACAACTCGAACGGCCTCGAAACTTACTCGTGAATCATCTGAAAATGCTCTCTGAGTTGTGAACAACGGCCACCAAATACAACTACAAGCGTGAACAATAGACACGATGAGTGACGTAATTGTGTTGGCCATTCCTGTTGCCTTGGCGTGTGCAATTGTGGCGGTGCTTGTGGTCGCCCTCATGAAGTACAACAGGTACTCCAATCAAAACAAAAACAATCGAAAATTGGGACTTAACAAATTTGGTCTTAAACTTGGTTTGATTATCGAAACCGTTTTGATTTTTTTGCTCCGAACACTGAAAATTGATTTCAACTTTTTTGACGTGTTTATTTTAACAATTTTTTCACGCAAAATGTTGATCGCATAGAAAACATTTGTATGAAAAAAAAATCCCAGCGAATATCGATAATGATCGCTTCTCGTATCGATAAAGGCTTCTCGTATCAAGCGGAGCTCTGAATAATCTGCCCAAAAAAGGTGCTTTGAAAAAATGCGTCCAGCGTGAAATATCTTCTTAAAATTATATTCAGGACAAAAAACCATTCAGAGAGAACTCAAAAAATCTGTTTAAATCTGTTAAATAAAAACTCGAATGTTTGAAAAAAAATACGTCGAGCGCGAATATTCTATCCTTTTTTCGAAGCTATGAACACTATTTAAAATAACAATCATACCTTCAAGATATTCTAATCAATGGATTACAAAATATTTAACAAACAAATCGTGGGTATGTTAAGCAAAGTCGCAAATGTTTAGAAACAAAATATCTAATAAAAAATTTTATAGCTAAGTTTTGTTTCAAAATATAAGATTATGCCAACAAAGAGCTATGTTTTAAAAGAAAAAATTTTTTTGTGAAATGAGACATCGAACTAATGGATCTTGCTGATGTTTTTACAACGATAAGAAAAGTTAAGAAACACAATATCTAATAAAAAATTTTATAGCTAAGTTTTGTTTCAAAATATAAGATTATGTCAATAAAGAGCTACGTTTGACAACAGAAAGATTTTTGTGAGATGAGAGATAGAACCAATGGATCTTGCTGATCTTTTTTACAACGATAAGAAAAGTTTAGAAACACAATATCTAATAAAAAATTTTATAGCTAAGTTTTGTTTCAAAATATAAGATTATGTCAACAAAGAGCTACGTTTGACAACAGAAAGATTTTTGTGAGATGAGAGATAGAACTAATGGATCTTGTTGATCTTTTTTACAACGATAAGAAAAGTTTAGAAACACAATATCTAATAAAAAATTTTATAGCTAAGTTTTGTTTCAAAATATAAGATTATGTCAACAAAGAGTTACGTTTGACACCAGAAAGATTTTTGTGAGATGAGAGATAGAACTAATGGATCTTGCTGATCTTTTTTACAACGTTAAGAAAAGTTTAGAAACACAATATCTAATAAAAAAATTTTATAGCTAAGTTTTGTTTCAAAATATAAGATTATGTCAACAAAGAGCTACGTCTGACAACAGAAAGATTTTTGTGAGATGAGAGATAGAACTAGAGGATCTTGCTGATCTTTTTTAGCACGATAAAAAAAGTTTAGAAACACAAAATCTAATAAAAAATTTTATAGCTAAGTTTTATTTCAAAATATAGGATTACGCCAACAAAGAGCTATGTTTGAAAAGAAAAAGATTTTTGCGAGAAGAGAGATAAAACTAATGGATCTTGCTGATCTTTTTTACAACGATAATAAAAATTTAGAAACACAATATCTAATCAAAAATTTTATTGCTAAGTTTTGTTTCAAAACATAAGATTATACCAACAAAGAGCTATGTTTGAAAAGAACGAGATTTTTGTGAGATGACAGATAGAGCTAATGGATCTTGCTGATCTTTTTTATAGCGAGAAGAAAAAAATTATTATAGCGTTTTTTTATTAATATAATTTTTGTGATTGTATGGTAAAACAAATTATATTGGCGGATATCGCTGAAAAGAGACTAGATTGATCTTGTATGAAAAACATTGACTTTCCTGGTATGATATACAGAAGAAACAAAGATTCCATTTCTAACTTACTTCTCGCGAATTAAAAGTGGTTCAATGAATTTTGTGACATTATAATCAAATGTTTTTGTCTCGGAATCAAAAATTGTCAGTTTATTTATTACTATAATTTCAAATTTTTTTTCAAGACGTCGTCAGATAATTTATTACTAACATTAAAAACTTGGTGCACACTGGGATAAAAATTAGCGATAAATTATATCAAAAACATGGTCAAAAGAATTCCACAAAAATATCCAATATAATCATTAAAAACTTTCTATAGAATTGAGTCAGTCCAAAACAAAAAATGCATCAAAACTTTATCAGTTTATCAATCTAAATCGCGTTTTGAGTGAAACATATATCAATATTTTTGAAAATAAATCATAGAATGATGAAACCTTTGCCACAACAAAATCAAAAAAAGTCTGGGATACTAACAACAAAATCAGACTTTGTGCAAAAACATCCATTGAAGTTATGCACATTTTCATTAACAATCAACCTAGAGGCCAAATAGTAATAAACTTTCATTAGAAAAAAATTTACTCTGCCCATTTTTGAGCGCAAAAATATGCCAGATATTTTTCCTAAATATCATTTCACACCAGTGTTCGCTTAATGTGGCGTCTGTTGCATTGATGCTTTTATGTATAAGTTCAATTGATCAGTTAATAGTTAATTGTTATGGAAAGTCAACCCTCTAAAACTGACTTTTGTATAGTGTTAGTAAAAAAAGAACGAAAATCGTATTATAAACTCTCTTTACATTCAATGGAATAAGCTTTTTTGTATGGACTTATATGACCTGTTCTGTATGAAAAGTACGTACATATAGCATGAACCAAAAAATGAACCAAAATTGGACTTTAAATATCCCCAGTACAATTCAAAATCTCATAAGAATCCTATATCTTGTGAAAATGAATTCGAGAACTTACAAAATCCTTACAACATGTAAGCACCAATAATTTTATTTTTTAATTTTTTTAAGAATCTTACAAGATTTTGAATTTCGGTATAAAAATTAACTTCAAAAATTTATCTGCACGAACACTGACCTAACTCAAATCTTACCAAAAAACACCTTTTGGAGCCTCATTCTGATGTTTATTTAGCCCTCCTATGCTTCCAATGCTTATTTAGAATGAATCAATGAAACTTATTCAAGAACCTAACCATGAGTTATTTTACTTTTTCATTTTCTTATATGAGTTTTTCAATTTCTACTTTTTTTGTATGAATCTTAAAACGTAATTGGTTTTCTTACAAGACTCCTATCAGAGTTTACTCCCCCCACCTCCCTGCCCGTTTACCTCAACCGCCATTTATAACATAACATAAAGTATTAGCATAACTGTTTTCAAACTAACAAAAGACCAGCAAATTGCGTGAATTATGCCAACAAAGAGCTATGTTTGAAAAGAAAAAGATTTTTGCGAGAAGAGAGATAGAACGAATGGATCTTGCTGATCTTTTTTACAACGATAATAAAAGTTTAGAAACACAATATCTAATCAAAAATTTGATTGCTAAGTTTTAATTCAAAAAATAAGATTATGCCAACAAAGAGCTATGTTTGAAAAGAACAAGATTTTTGTGAGATGAGAGATAGAGCTAATGGATCTTGCTGATCTTTTTTATAGCGAGAAGAAAAAAAATTATTATATCGATTTTAGTAACATAATTTTTGTGATTGTATGGTAAAACATATTATTTTGGCGGATATCGCTGAAAAGAGACTAGATTAATCTTGTATGAAAAACATTGACTTTCCTGGTATGATATACAGAAGAAACAAAGATTCCATTTCTAACTTACTTCTCGCGAATTAAAAGTGGTTCAATGAATTTTGTGACATTATAATCAAATGTTTTTGTCTCGGAATCAAAAATTGTCAGTTTATTTATTACTATAGTTTCAAATTTTATTTCAAGATGTCGTCAGATAATTTATTACTAACATTAAAAACTTGGTGCACACTGGGATAAAAATTAGTGATAAATTATATCAAAAACATGGTCAAAAGAATTCCACAAAAATATCCAATATAATCATTAAAAACTTTCTATAGAAATGAGTCAGTCCAAAACAAAAAAATGCATCAAAACTTTATCAGTTTATCAATCTAAATCGCGTTTTGAGTGAAACATATATCAGTATTTTTGAAAATAAATAATAAAATGATGAAACCCTTGCCACAACAAAATCAAAAAAAAATCTGGGATACTAACAACAAAAGCAGACTTTGTGCAAAAACATCTATTGAAGTTTTGCAAATTGTCATTAAAAATCAACCTATAGGCCAAATAGTAATAAACTTTCATTAGAAAAAAATATACTCTGCCCATTTTTGAGCGCAAAAATATGCCAGATATTTTTCCTAAACATCATTTCACACCAGTGTTCGTTTAATGTGGCGTCTGTTGCATTGATGCTTTTATGTCTAAGTTTAATTGATCAGTTAATAGTTAATTGTTAAGGAAAGTCAACCCTCTAAAACTGACTTTTTAATAGTGTTAGTAAAAAACGAACAAAAATCGCATTATAAACGCTCTTTACATCAAATGGAATAAGTTTTTTTGTATGGACTTATATGACCTGTTCTGTATGAAAAGTACGTACCCGCATCCAATTTTAAGCGTTAATAATCGATTATATTACGATTTTAGTACCTGTATCACTAAAATTGAGAAACAATCAATTTTAATCAATTAATAATCGATTATAAAACTCCTTTTAAAATCAAATTATAGTTAATTATAATTCATTATAGTCGATTATAATCGATTATTTATTCGTTTATTTTTTGATACAATTATAATCGATTATATTTGATTATAATCCATTATGCTTTTTGTGGACGTTGGTTCCTATGAAAAATGAGAAAATTTTTTAAAAAGTTTTCCAATTAATTCAAAATATTAAGTTTTTTTTTTATTTCCTCCCCATTCGAGTTGTTTTGTGATGCATATTTTAAGCTTTTTTAAACACCAAAACATCAGCAAATTGATTTAGTTTCTTGATTGATTCGGAAAATTTATTTTTCATCTACCGCGAGAACCTTTCCACTCATATGAAAGGATCTCTATGAAACTTTTGTTTCGTGGTAAAACTTTGTAACAGATGAACCAAAGTGTTCAAGAGATCTATCTTTTAGAGATTTTCTTATTGACACA